AATCTTGTCCTCAAGGTTCGTCTTGCGTTTCCATCTATGTTTGACTTCATCGACTTTCTTTCCGAATGAATCCGAAAAACACGATGAACGACCAAGCTCTTTAACACATGGCTCTTGCTGACCCCAAGAGATTTTTCATGGTGTGCAAAAGAAAGGAGACGAACAAGATTTGGTGACTTTGAATGAGGCCGGATCTGTAAAGACGACTGAGAAAAATAAAAGCATGATATTGATTGTGAAGGAGATGAAATTTGAAAAGGCAATTGAGAAGGTCGATTTGTCGGGAAAGAGATTGAGAAATTTAAGTCGGGCAGATAGGTTCATCTTTGAAAAAGAGCTCGATTTTTCATCGTGTTTTTTGGAGTTAATTCGGAAGCAAGTCGATGAACAAATCGATGAAGTCAAACATAGATGGAAACATAGAAACGAGAGACGATTATTGGGCAGAACCTTGAGGACAAGGTTCATTTCAAGAGGGGTGGTTTGATACGATTTATTATTTAATTATTAGTTAGTTAGTATTTTTATTATTAATTAATTAGAATAGTTGTTTAGGTTTATATTTTGCCGTGAGTTAGTAGTGAGTTAGGAGATTATTTAGTATTTAATTAGTATAGGTAATTATCTTTTCTAGTTAGATTAGGATTCTAGGGTTTTATTCTCTTTAAATAGTCGTATTGTGCTAGGGTTTTGGAATGAAGAGAAATATATTAAAGAATAGATCTTACGTTTCGTAGGAAATATTTATGATACTCAAGAGATCGTATCAATTGGTATCAGAGCGAAGTTGCGATAACACCAACGCTTCGTTAGCAAGGCAGCGATTACATCAAAGCTACGCTGGAGCAAAGTTGAGATCACATCAAAACTTTGTGAAAATCATGATGTCAGAAACAAGACGGTTGGAGCGATTGGAGAAATCCGTAGAGAGATTACGGATTGACTTTCAGAAATTGCTCGAACAAAGTCACGGACGACGTCAACGCCAACACAAAAGCCGAAGGGACCGCCGCCCATCACCGCCAACGCCACTGCTACCATCACCACCGCCGTTGCCGAGCCTATCGCCGGAGGAAGAGGAAGAGGACGACGATGATTTTTTCGAAGAACCCCAGATTTTTGTGAGTTCGCCGGAAGAAGAAGAATCGAATTCCACTGAGATAAAGTGGGACGAAGAGCCGAAAGAAGAAGAATCGGAATCAACTGAGATAAAGTGGGACGACGAGCCGAAAGAAGAATTATCGGATTCACTTGAGGTAATTTGGGACGAAGACGAGGAATTAACAAGGGAGGAGAACGAAGAGCTACGATGGATATTGGGAGATTTCAATGATCTTCAAAACAAAGAAGACGAAGGATTATTGACGATTTTCAAGGAGATTAAGAAATCTAACATTGCTATTGAGAAGATTGAGGTATCACTAAAAGTGTCAAATATTTCCTCGATGATGTTTAATGAATTGTTTGACCATAACAAACAATACGTTAAAGAGTCAACGATGGTGGAGACATGTGATGAAGTAGTCGATCAATTGATTGAGATTCGTGTTCTCAGCATCCTACATGAGAACAAATTATTTTTGAAGAAATTGGATGGCATCAAGCATAGATGGAAGCGCAAAAAAAGAGAGAGCTGCAAATATTCGAACCTTGAGGACAAGGTTCATTTCAAGAGGGGTGGTTTGATACGATATATATTTAATATATCGTATATTTATTCGTTAGTTATTATTTTATTATTTAATATATTATTGAAGTATTATTTTAATTAATAGTTTATAGATTAGTATATTTAGATATATATATGGCCGTGAGTTAGGAGATTAGTTAGGAGATTATTTAGTATTTAATTAGTATAGGTAATTATGTTTCCTAGTTAGATTAGGATTCTAGGGTTTTATATCTTTAAATAGTCGTCTTGTGCTAGGGTTTTTATAATGAAGAGAGAAATATTAAACAATAGATCTTACGTTTCGTAGGAAATATTTATGATACACAAGAGATCGTATCAGCTTACTACGCACATCTTGCTGCATTCCGAGCCCGTTACTGCTGCACCGGGCCCTGGTGGAGCTATGAGGGAGAGGGTTGGAGAGGTTCGGGCTCTGCCTGCAGTTATGGACAATGTTAAGGATGTCATGTTCTACTGCTGATTTTAGATGACTTAAAAACTTAACCACAGGACTACATCTTTTTGTCTAGATTCACATGTTTTGCTGATTTTCGATTAATTTAGAAAAAAACACTACATCTTTTTGTCTATGAAGATATGTTTTTGTAGATTTCTCTTTTTCGGTGCTAAAATATGCTATGTTACCTAAGGTTGTTTTGTCGTCGTAGGTTGAAAAGAATTATGTGCCATTTGGCTAATGATTCGATGGCAATGTTATTTAGAATCTTTGAACTTCAATTGTGTTGGGATTAAAGGAATTTGATCGGTTTTCTTTTTGTTGAACGTATATGTTCTATGTGTGGTCGATTTTTATTTTTTTTGTCTATTTTTATTTTATGAAGACAGGTACATATTGCTGTATATACATATTGCTGTATATAGTGCTACATATGTCAAATGTATTTGATTTATGTTGATATAGTTACTTTAATCTATAATGTGTTTATTGTAATTTACGTAATATGCTAATCATGTCAGAAAATTATTTAAAAGAACTGTTGTTATATATATAAACTTGTTTGCACCAAGATGGCACAAATAGGACTTGACAAACAATTTTGTTAACATTCTGAAAGCACAGCCAAGCAGCATATAATATAAATTCGATGGTCTTAGATTAAATTATATATCTAGACAACAACAAAATTAACCGAATCTTGTAGTATTGGTTTAAATTCTTTCCGCACACGAGCTATCGTCCTTTCTCGGCTTGTATAGCTTTTGTCGGGGCTAATTTCCACGATGAGCTCTTCAAGTACCGTAGCTTTTCCAACAACGAGCATCCCGAGTTCCACTTCGTTCGGGGACGCTTCGAGTCCCGACAGTTTCACCGTTTTCGGATGATCATCATTTGAGGCCTTGCTCACCACCTTCATACAATAATATCGTTCGTGGAAGCTTGTTGCCGTAAACTGCAAAATTATAACAATATATTAATATACATATATGAATATAATCGATTCCAGTTGATCAAATTTTGGATAATATATAAAATATTAGGATATAGAAATTAACTTAATCTCGAGTCTCTGCAAGCACGGACACGCGTCGATGAAACGAACGAGTTCCTGGAAGTTAATAGTATTCCCGAATAAATGACATTCCAATTCCACATGTTTAACCTTCGCCAATTGCTCACTAATTATATTGCCGCGTGAGAGGATTTGAGTTCCGATCTCGACACAATTAGTGTCCAACTCAACAAGCCTCGGCACATTTTCTATCACGAGGAGACAATAATGCGGAAATTCATGAAACCTCATAGATTCGAGGTTCGTCATGTCTCTAATCTCAATGGTATTGATACTCCAACACGTACTTATGCTCAAGTGCTTCAACTTTGGCGCCAAATCGCCAGATATACGCACGTCGCTTAATGCATCATTACGCGAAATCGAGAGGCGCTCGAGAGCGACGGAATTCGAAAGCAGTAGCCTCAAACCCTCGTCGTCGAAATCAACGCCTTGTAGAGATAGTTCTTTTAGGAATTTGAAGGTCGGTAAGTTTCTTTCGAAATTACAAGGAGGAATGGAAAAACGGGCCGATGCATGAACGGAATTTAAGTGTAGGTGGACGTTCGGACGACTTTTTTAGAAAACGCGAAATCGAGCCACCTCTCAATTGGCCATGTCGTCTCGTCCGACCACGTGTTTATCTGGAACCAAGATAAGTAGAGTCGAATTTCTTCTAGAGCCGCACCTCCCTTGAGTGAATCCAATGTGCGATCGATTATGCTAGCGTAATTTCTTACGACCTCCTCCTCGAATACTCGATCATCACCTTTTTTGTTGCGGCCGTGCTCCTCTTCTTGATCTTTAAATGCTTGTAGTTGTTTGGAGGTAGGAGAAAAATCGAGGCAGGTGATGTACTTGTGGAGCCCAAGCCAACGTGTGGATAGGACATATTTATAACCACAATTGAGTACATATTTATAAGTTTTTTCTTACTTTAATACAAAAAAAAAAACCTTTCAACTCACCCACCGGCGCCGCTCCTCCCCTCCACCGTCGCTCACCGCCGAACGCCACTGAACGCCGAAACCTTCATCGTTATCAAGCCGCCGCCGCCTTCGTTATCACAAGTAATATTTGGTTTCGATTTTTTTTCTTTAATATTGAGTTAGGATTTGATTGTTTGATATGGGTAGTTAGGATTTGATTTTTTTAGGTAGAAATGATCGTCAATTAGTAATGGGTGCATCTAATTTCAGTCGATTTGAGCATTGATTTGAGATTTCGTGGGTTGTTCTTCGTTTCACAAAAATCGACCTGAAAGTGTCGATTTTTGCAAACTTTTCGACAGATTGCTTTCGAAAATTATGCAAAAATCGACACCTTGTTATCGATTTTTTGTGAAAATTTTGAAATTTAACTTTTGTTAATTCGACAGCAACCTGTCGAAAATGTTGGAAAAATCGACAGCTAGCTGTCAATTTTTGCTACAACTTTCGACATGTTGTTGTCGAATTCTTACTGTATTGATTTTTTTTTCTTTCTTATTTTTATTTGTTTGTTTTTATATTATGTATATTTATTTATTTATGTGTTCTTTTACAATGGAAGAACCACGTAAACCTCGTATACCCCCGACTGTCTCGAACCGTAAGAAGAGGAAGAAATTATCCGATAAGGGCAAGGGCAAGACAATCACGACCAAGAAAAAGACAACGACCAAGAAGTCTGGAGAGGGGTTTTTTGATAATTTGCAATTTTTATTTTTTTTGTCCAAAAACACTTAGAATATGTTGTTTATGTTACATTGAAATAGATTTGGGGTTAATTTCACAAAAAAATATAAAATATTGCAAATTATTAAAAATAATTAAAAAAAAAAAAATCAAACAGTATACTTCCAGGAACCCATGCCAATAAAGCTTCTTTTGTTGGGAATTTTTCTGACGTGGTAAATGAATGGGTGCAATCGATATACACAAAAGTGAAGAAAATATTAGACAAATAAATTTGCAACAGGAAAAAATTGACACTTAAGTGTCGAAAATAATGGACAAATTCGACACTTAAGTGTTGAAATATGACTTATATAATAATTGATATTATATATTTTCGACGGGTAACTGTCGAATTTCACCACTATTTTCGACACGTAAGGGTCGAAAATGAGGATAAATTCGACAGTTACCCGTCGAAAAGATATAATATCAATTATTATGTGTTTCGACACATACATGTCGAAAAATAAGCACACTTTCGACCTGTATGTGTCGATATTTTATGGCGGATTTTAAAAAATAAAATAAAATCAAAATCGACGTTTTAGCTTAAAAAATACATGGATATATATCTTAATGGGTTCTCCTTGCTCGTAAGCTACCATTCTATTGTCATTTGACGTCATTTTGCAAGTTGTGTAAGGTTTTGATTTCTTTAGTTTTGAGGTTTTTTAGGAGGGTTTTTGGGGGAGGGAGAAAGAGGTGGAGGAGGTGAGGGGTTTGTGAGTGAGGAGGGAAATAGATTTTGAGGGGTTTTGATTATTTGGTATTGAAGAAAGAAAAATAATATTTGTAATATTTTTTTGATTTTTATTTTCATTATGGGTATTAAAATAATTTACTATTAATTATTTATTTTTTTATTTGTTCGGTATTTTTTTCTTTTTTTGAGGATATTTGTTCGGTATTCAACTAAGCAAAAGTTGGGATTCGTTATAGTTATCCCCTAATAAAATATGTTGTTATTCAATCTTAATTATCGGGCAACTTAACTGCTCTAGTTAGACTTAGGATTAGGAATGTAGAAATTGGCATAAATTAAGCCGCGTGGTAAATTTTCTTTTGTTTATTTTCTTTTCGTTTCATTTCCATAAAAAAATATTATATTTAAAAAATAAGTTGGGTTTTTTTTATATAAAAGCCAACATAAGTGTCAAACAAGAGAATAATATTATTTATTTTATTTTCACGATTAAACAATTATTCTCTGTTATATTATTTATTTTATTTATCTATACTTGATTATCAACTTTAGGGTAATTTCATAGTAATTATGTAATAATTAAATAAATAAAAAATATGGAAAAGTAAACTAGAATACAACTATATTGTTATACTAGCAAATAGTTAAAACGAAACAATTGAGATGATTTTTTTTGCAAGTAACGTAAAAGATTAAAATGTAGTTCATGAATAAAAGTAAAAACAGGAAAAGAAATCCAAAGATAAATAAACAAAAAGATATATATCTACCCCAAATAGGCTTAGGCCCAAGTTGACCCAAATGTATAGAGGTAGGTAGAGGTAGGTAGAGATATTTTAGGAATTCTTTGGAGTGTTCCAGAGAATCACTCTCAACCGTTAGATCAAATCGATCTTCACCGTCCATTGAGCAGCTGGACTAGTATAAATAAAGGTAGGGTCCTTATTTGTAATCATCCAAGAAATCCAACAATTGACCCACTAAATATATTTATTTCTTTTTTGAATTTTCGTTTACTATTTTAATTTTGCTATTTATTCGCCAAATAATCTTCTTTAATTAATTGGGATTGATCATAAGTTAATTAACTTTTTTTCCATGTGTCATGAGATGGCCGGAAGCCGCTTATTCTTTAAATAAAAAAATTTGAGGATATACTACCGATTACAAATAAACAGGATGTTGAAGATGCTGCGTACGAACTATAACATGCTCCGAAGCAATGAAAAACATCACAATATATATATATATATATATATATATATATATATATATATATATATATATATATATATATATATATATATATATATATATATATATATATATATATATATATATATATATATATATAGATATAGAGACAGAGACAGACAGATATATAGATATATATATAGATATATGAGGGATGTATATATATATATATATATATATATAAAAGAGAGATTCAATTAATAATTACCTAAAGTAGATTTTTATCTTTATTAATCTTCATGTAATTTATGTAATTTTTCTTCCTTCTAGTTGATCTACTGTTAGTCATCTCTAATTAATTTATCTAACCAAGCAAAATACATAGCCTTCTTCAATTTGCGTACGTATTAGAACTAGGTTTTATGTATATTTTACCATAAATAATAATTTAATAAAAGCAAAGTTGCATTGTAATTAAGATACATATTTATTTTCCTAATAATAATTACTAAGGTGAATTTCAAATATTAAATTATATTATATTACGTAACATATAATTGAAAAATATAATTTAATTAGATAAAGTGGGTTATAAAATAAACATTATTCCTGAGGAAAAAAACTCTTTAATTTAAATCAACAACTAAAAAATAACAATCTTAAATTAAAATAATTTTAGTTAGAGACTTTGAAATAATTTTAAAGTTACTTGTATGGTAAATATTTATACATGAGACGTACGCCACTACCGGCGCAAGCTAGCAGTTCAACTGACTACTAGCTAATAACCTAGCTCGGAGGCAGTGTAATCATTCGGATGCTCAAAATCCACTCTTGCTAGTAGGAATTTGGCATCGACGCGCCAGTTGAGATGCACACATTTCCTTCGAGTGTAACAAACGCGTCTACTGTCGAGTAGGGATGCAATAGACTGCGGATCAGATTTTGTTGGCGTTCTGCGTGAGGGACTGAGTTGTTGTTGGCCTGTTCATTTACCTTTTTACCCTCCAATGCAAGCCTATAAACTGGAGCTGTTAATTATGTTTTGAATTTTATTTTGGGGCAAATATTTTATTTTATGTTATATTATTTGGTTTTTCCTGTCATTTAATATTATTTGTATTTATATTTTAATTTTATTTGGCTTATATTTATCACATACTTTATATAAAACCAGTTAGAAGTCAAACATTTAGTTGACTAATTTCCCAGGTACATAAAAGTGATGTTATTTTGGGGGGAATGAAATTTTACTTACTTAGGAGTGGACCCCACAAAAATTTGCTAGCACACAAAAAACAAAAGGCGAAAACAACATTCTCTGCGGTTCTATTCGGTGCTGTTGTTGCGGTTCCCTACAGTTGATTTAGCGTTTTATCTATTTCGAAAAAATGAAACACGCAGAAACTGTACGAACCGGACTGTAAATAACTTTAAAATACTAGTCTCCAGTAAGTCTTCGATATGTCTCTCTTCTTCCAGTATATATATAGATATATATATATATATATACTCCACCACCCTTCTCTGTTATACGACGCGCATTTCATAACCGTCTCTCCGCAAACGAAATCGCGAGCAGTGAAAATCGGCGAAAATGTCGGGAATAGGGAGAGAAGAACGAGGACGATCACGTGCCGCCGGCGGAAGGGGACCGCAGCAGCCAACCGGCCGCGGCAAAAAACAACCATCGCGCGGCGGCGGTCCAGGCCGTGGTCGAGGCCGCGGTAGTAGTGCTACGCCGGAGCACTCAATTTCAGCTTTTGTGGCTCTGTTCGAGCAGTCTCCGATGGAGCAGAAGCTCACGTTTCAGGCTTCGTCTTCGACCACTGTTCCGGCGCCTCGCCCACAGGTTACGGCGGTTTTGGCGGTGAATCCGCCGCAAGGACCGTCGAAGAAGGCGTTGACTATCCCGGCAAGGCCAGGTTTCGGATCACTCGGACAGAAGACCATCGTTAAGGCGAACAATTTTTTGGTTCCGGTGACTAAACCGCCTGCTCCGACGCCTCAGCCACAGGCTCCGGCGGTGATTCCGCAGCAAGGACAGTTACCACCGGCTTCCACGAAGGCGGTGAGGCTACCGGCAAGGCCAGGCCTCGGATCATTCGGACAGAAGACCATTGTTAAGGCGAACCATTTTTTGGTTGCGGTTGCTGATAGAGATCTGAACCACTACGATGTAAGTGTTTTTTTGATTGCGAATGTGCTTTTTCTGCGTAGAGAAGTTTTGTCTGCGATTGCGTATTTGTTTGTATTTAATACACATCTCTTTTCATTTCATGTATGTGTTTGCCTTGTGTGTGTATGTATGTGGTATATGTGTTTTTGTTATCATGTATCAATTATCATAGTTCTCTTTCGAAACCATTAACATTCTTCTGGTTTATTGTTTTTCGTGTTTCTCTGTGTTTAGAATTGAAGAGTAGTGTGTTGCGATTTTTCGTAATTGTTTCTATTATTTTGGTGCCTGTTATTTTCATTTTAGGTTGCTATCTCGCCTGAGGTAACCTCGAAGAAGGTATGCCGGATGATAATGGATGAGCTTGTCAAATCCTTTAACGCTTCAAATTTGGGCAAGAGACAATTGGCTTACGATGGAAGGAAGAATTGCTACACTGCAGGGCCATTGCCCTTTGTCTCTAAGGAGTTTGCCGTCACGCTTGATCAAGATAGTGGATTCAGGTGAAAGTACTCTCACTTGAAATTTAAACCGTAGAGATTTATGAACTTGAACATGTTTGTGTTCCTATGCAGGAAGGAACGCGAATTCAAGGTTTCCATTAAGTTTGCTTCCAAAGCTGACTTACACTACTTAAAAGAATTCTTACAAGGCAGACAACTCGATAATAATCCAAATGAAACTATCCAGTGTCTTGATGTGGTGCTTAGGTCGAAACCATATAATAATAGGTGACAAATGTTTTCTAGAATTTAAATGTATGACCACGATGATTATAAATTTCTTACTTGATGTTTTAATTTCAGCTATGAAGCTGTTGGAAGGTCCTTCTTTCATTGGGACTTCGGATCAGGGAAACTCGGTGATGGCCTGGATTACTGGAAAGGATTTTACCAGAGTCTTCGCCCAACTCAGATGGGGCTGTCACTGAATATTGGTACCCATTTATTTACACTAATTTACGTTTTCTTCATATTTGGGCTGGGTTGAAATTCGTTATTTCTCCATGTTTGAATGTAATGTTGCAGATATGTCCGCTAGAGCTTTTATTGAACCTATTTATGTGTCTGAGTTTGTTTTCAAGTACCTCAACCTCAGGGATCGGAATAGGCCTTTATCTGACCAAGATCGGATTAAGGTTGTAACAGTCACTGTTTTGGTTTTCTCTAATATCTTGCCATTTAATGAAGGATGCTCGTTTTCTGTTTTAAGGTCAAAAGAGCTCTTAAAGGTGTCAAGGTTGAGAGCATATATCTGAAGTACACCAAACGTTTCAATATCACAGGCGTGTCGACTGAACCCACTGAAAGCCTGATGTAAGCTCTTCTCTACTGCTTCGGTGTTTAGAACAAATATTTTAATTTATTTATTTTTCTAGACTTTGTAACTTGATGTAGCATTTGCTGATTAGTTGTATAATTACTATGTTTGCTTAATTTAGTGGATTTGGTTTTTGAAGATTGAGACTACTATTTAACACATTATTTTATACGCTAAATCAGGTTTACCATCGATGCATCCGGTGCACAAATATCTGTTTCTGAGTTCTTCCGTCAGCAGCACAGTATCGTGCTTATGTATCCACGTCTGCCTGCTATTCAGTCCGGCATTGGGAGACCAATTTATATTCCAATGGAGGTCTCTCTCTCTCTCTCTCTCTCTCTCTCTCTCTCTCTCTCTCTCTCTCTCTCTCTCTCTCTCTCTCTCTCTCTCTGATCTTGTATGTTCTTTGGTCTTGATCTATCTTTTGTCCTTGTTAAATTAGCCTTTTTTCGTTTGCGCAGTTATGCAAAATTGTTGAGGGTCAAAGATACTCTAGGAAATTGAACGGGAGACAAGTTACTGCCCTGCTCCAAGCCACATGCGAACGGCCAGCGAAGAGAGAGGGTGTCATTAGAACGGTACGGATATATGAAACTGATTAGTATTATAGTTTGGCTTAATATTGTTTTGCATTGACCGTACAATTATTTATTTTGCAGATGGTGGAAAGAAATAATTACAACCATGACGAACTTGTCAATAGAGAGTTTAGTATACAAATTAGGCCTGAACTTATGTCCGTAGAGGCACGGGTTTTGCCTCCTCCAATGGTAAGATTAGTATATTCAAATTTTGTATCCCTTTTGCAATTTTTTTTTCTTATGTTGTAATTTTGTTTTTTTTGCCAGCTGAAATATCATGATTCTGGAAGGGAGAACCGTGTTCAGCCAAATGAAGGACAATGGAATATGATGAACAAGGTAAAAAGTTAAAATTGTTTGAACGGAAATTTGTCTTTAAACCCTGTTTGGAGATTTTATTTCTGTTTTTTTTTTCAGATCCACTAACTAAACCTGTTTTGCTAGAAAATGATCAATGGTGGAAAGGTGGATTTTTGGACTTGTGTCAATTTCTCCCGAAGCAAAGATCATGTTGTCAAGAGATTTATCAATGAACTGGTTACTAAATGCCTCAGCAGAGGGATGGTAAGTGTTGAACTTTAGTGCATAATTTGATTAAAGTAAAAAAAAATGTGGTAATAATTAGCTTGCTTAAAAATGTTTATTTGCTCATAGGAATTTAGTCCACATCCTCTAGTTCCTATTCGTACAAAGCCTTCTAACCAGATTGAGAAGTCCCTAATCGGTATCCACTCAGACTGTTTGAAAACTAGGAAACAACTTCAGTTGCTTCTTATTATATTGCCCGATGGCAACGTGACTGATTCATACGGTTAGTTATGCTGTTTAGTTTCTACAATCCCAACATATAAACTTTGATACAAATATTATTATCTTCTTACATTCATTCTCCTCTTTTTTTTTTTTTGTTTTCCACGACAGGTTTAATCAAGAGAGTGTGCGAAACCGAGTTGGGCTTTGTGTCACAATGCTGTCAGCCCCAACATGTTTTAAAATGCAATAATCATCAGTACTTGGAGAATGTTTCTCTCAAGATCAACGTTAAGGTTTGTTGTATGAACTTTCGTTTCTTTATTTAAATAATTATTCCCATTTTTCTCCCTTCATCACCTTGTGTTTTGACTTAGGTTGGAGGGCGAAATACGGTGCTGGAGAAGGCACTCTGTAGAACAATACCTTTCGTTAGTGACATGCCTACCATAATATTCGGTGCTGATGTCACTCATCCTCAACCAGGGGACGAATCCAGTCCTTCTATAGCTGCGGTACGTACAGCTTCTATTTTTGCACCTAGAATGAAAAATGCAAAGAAATGAACAATTCGATTAATCTTATTCTTTCTCAGGTGGTGGCCTCAATGGATTGGCCAGAAGTCTCTAAGTACAGAGGCTTGGTTTCTGCACAGGGCCATAGGGACGAGATTATCCAGGATCTCTACATTAATAAGGACTCAGGAATGATTCGGTTAGCATTGTCTAATCTTGATTAATATATATTTTTATTATCCTATATTTTATTAATTCCTTTGCTCATTCTTATTTTCCTTTTTGTTTTTGCAGCGAACACTTGGTTGCATTCTACCAGAACACTAAGTTGAAGCCTAGCAGGCTCATCTTTTACAGGTTAGTTATTTTGGTGATGTGCATTTGATCTACTCGTAGTGTATAGTGTTTGCCATTTCGTAATTATTTTCAAATCGCAGGGATGGTGTGAGCGAAGGGCAGTTTAATCAAGTTCTTCTGTATGAAGTTGATGCAATTAGGAAGGTATAAAGATTTCTCTATGGGGTTTTCATCGTATTTACTTTAAAAAAAAAATTAGTATGTAAATTTCTTGAGAATACTATCTTGAGAATATTTATCTGAAAATTGTGAGCTTCAGGCATGTAATGAACTTCAGACAGACTATCAGCCAAGAATAACTTTTGTTGTCGTTCAAAAGAAGCATCACACTCGTCTCTTTCCTGCTGACCATACAAGTCCTAATACTACAGACAAGAGTGATAACATTTTGCCAGGTATTAAACTTTAATTTAGGTTCAATATAAGATCTTTTTTTTTTGATCTTCCAAATTAATTTGTGTATAATTTGTTGTCTTTTGTGATTAGGCACTGTGGTGGATACCAAGATTTGCCACCCCAACCAATTGAGTTTCTATCTTTGCAGCCATGCTGGGATCCAGGTACGTACGTAAATTAACAAATTCAGTTTTTATTTTCTGTTGGTATTTTGAATGCATTAAATTCTAAGTTTGATATATACTTTATTCTTGTTTTGGAAGGGAACGAGCCATCCAGCACATTACCATGTGTTGTTCGATGAAAATAAATTCAGTGCAGATAGTATGCAAATGCTTACCTACAGCTTGTGTTACACGTATGCATTTGTTTGTTATTATAAATGTGGAATTGATCATACTTTTATTTTGAATATATATATAAACTGAGTTCATTTTTTCCATTGTTTTTCTTCAGATATGCTAGGTGCACTCGATCAGTATCCATAGGTTAGATAGATTGCTATTGAATCTGATTTAAACTTTTATACAGTAGTCGTGTAACTTTTTAAATCAAGTCGTTGAAATTAATATTAGTTGTATTTGTCGTGCAGTACCACCAGCTTACTATGCACATCTTGCTGCATTTCGAGCACGGTATTACATCGAAGCTGGGGGAGATCTCTCTGACAGTGGATCCGCTGCAGCGGGCCCCGATGGAGTTATGAGGGAAAGGGTCAGAGAGGTTCGGGCTCTGCCTGCAATTATGGACAATGTTAAGGATGTCATGTTCTACTGCTGATTTTAGATGACTTAGAAAACACAATCTTTTCGAACTATATATAGATATCCGTCACCTTAGGCTTTTGTTACATACGTACGTTGTAAATAATTCTGTGCAGTTTGGTTATGATTCGCTGGAAATGTTATTAAGAATCTTGGGATTTCAACTAACAGAATCTCGCTAGTATGGGTTGGAAACATGATTGAATATCTAGACAATAACGAAATTAACTGAATCTGGTAGTATTGGTTGAAAACGTACACTTGCGCACAAGAGCTCTGGCCCTTCGTCGGTTTTTTCGGGGCAAATTTCCATGACAAGCTCTTCAAGTCCCGTTGCTTTTCCAATAATGTACGACCCGAATTTCATTTCACATGAGCACCCTTCGAGTCCCGACAGCTTCAGCCTTTTCAGATGATCATTTGAACCCTTCTTCACCACCTCCATACAATAATGCTCACCACCCCTTCTTGACGTCATCTGCAAAATTACCAATTTATATTATATATTTATTCGAGTCTATAGAATTTGGATTTATAAATATTGTGAAAAATATTATATATATATATATGAAAATACCTTAATCTCGAGTTTCTGCAGGCACAGACAAGCGTCCATGAAACGGACGAGTTCGTGGAAGCTGCGATCACTGTATATAGAAAATTCCTACTCCACATGTATAAGCTTTCCCATTCTCGGGAGGTGCATGTAGTCGCTGTACACATCAAAAATGTAGGTCGAAAGCTTGAGCTTCACCAATTGCTCGCTAATTACACTGCCGCGTGTGAGGACTTCGATTTCGGTTTTTCGACAATTAGAGTGCGTTTGGATGGATGGATTTGGGGAGGGATTTGATTTGGGGAAGGGATTTGAAATGACTCCAATTTTGGAGTCATTTGAAATCCACCTCAATTGCTCAAAACATAACTAAAAAGGAGGGGTGTGGATTTGAAATCCATCCCCAAATCCCTCAATCCAAACAAGTCCAAGGGATTTGTTATTATGGATTTGAAATCCCTTCCCCAAATCCTTCCATCCAAATGCACCCTTAGTGTCCAACTCAACAAACCTCGGCAAATTTTCTAGCAAGAGTTCGTAACCAATCAATGGCAAATGATATAACCTCAAAGACTCGAGGTTCGTCATGTCTCTAATCTCAATGAATTTGATATCCCAACACGCACTTATGTTCAAGTGCTTCAACTTTGGTGCTATTAAATGACCACCTAGTATAAGTAAGTCGCTTAATTTGTCACTACGTTCTATTGAGAGACGTTCGAGAGCAACGAAATTCGAGAGCAATATAGCCTCAAACCCTTGTCGTCCAAATCAATGCCGTTTAGAGATATTTCTTTTAGGGTTTTGTTGAAGCTCGTGAAATTAGAATACGGAATCGGGACCCACAGATGAACAGTATTTATGTGTAGGTGGATGGTCTGGACTTGTTTGGAAAACGCGAAATCGAGCCACCTCTCGACTAGTCCACTCTCGATTGGCCATGTCTCGTTCAACCATGTGGTTCTCTGGAACCAAGGTAAGTAGAATCGAATTTCTTCTAGAATTGAACCTTCATTGTTTGAATCCAATGTGCGGTCGATTACGCTAGTGCATTTCCTTACGAGTTCAACTTCGAATAATCGATCATCATGTCCTACTTTGTGGAGGCGGAACTCCTCTTCTTCTTTAAATGCTTGTAATTGTTTGGAGCTGGGAGAAAAATCGAGGCGGGTGATGTACTTATGGAGCCCACGCCAACGTGTGGATAGGATGCTCGTGCACACAGCTTCGGCAACCGTCAGTCGCGAGATTATCGATATTAGAATATCGTCCGACAATTTGCTAATCATGTCCACCCTATCATCACGACCAATATTGTTATTATTAATCTCACAATTACTTGTTGCTGCTTTTTTTTTCCTGCAAAAACAAATTAAGCATACATATATGAGTTATGCATAAATAAATAAATAAATATATTTGATGATGTAATACAGAATTACAGATTAGAAAATAAACAGGGTTAATGTGGATGCCACGTAAGAAAAAAAATATATTAAAAAGATATTAATTAATAATTGCCTGAAGTAGATTTTTATCTTTATTCTTCGAGTTTCTCTTCCTTCATCTCTAATTGATTTATCTAATATATATATATATATATATATATATATATATATATATATATATATATATATATATAGAGAGAGAGAGAGAGAGAGATATTAATATAAGAGAGAGGTTTCGTATAACTCTGAACGTGATATATATATATATATATATATATATATATATATATATATATATATATATATATATATATATATATATATATATATATATATATATATATATATATATATATATATATATATATATATATATATATATATATAGAGAGAGAGAGAGAGAGAGAGAGAGAGAGAGAGAGAGAGAGAGAGAGAGTGTGTGTTTAATATAAGAGAGAGGTTTCGTATAATTCTGGACATAAGTAACAAACTAGAACTAGGATTAGTAATACGGCAAATTGTGATTGTTATTTGGGGAACATAATCGCATTGTGTTGCAACTAGGATACCCATATATATATATTTTTTCCTAATAATTAATAAGATAAATTTCGAATTATTATTTGTGCACATGGTGTGTAAAATACTAAAATACCCCCTTAAATTTCAATTTTTTTGTATCGAAATTTGAAGTTTAAATTTGTCCTTTCGAAAAAAAGAAGAAAAAAAAATTACGAGGACGTCATTCCATCCAATTTTCACATTGGTAAAATACACGACATTAGTCCCGTAACGTAATCCTCTATGAAATTTTGTGTCGAATGACCAGCTAATATCTAAGTATTATACAACAAATGCAGCTGGATGGCTAAAATAACAGGGAACTAAAAGAAAAAAAAGTAAAAATCTAAAAAAAAAAAAAAACATATATATGATTCTATAAATGGATATTATAAGAATGTAAGAACACCAAAGAATACTATATGCAACAAGAAAGCTATATGGTGTTTGGTATTAGTAAATTGTAAACTTTGTTATGTATCGAGTCGCCCCGCGTTGAAATATTCGATTTTACCTGTACCAGTTGTCGCAGAGACATTCACAGACAACGAACCTATCTATATTTATATTTATTATACTATCTATAAAAGTGGGAATAATATGGTAGGTTTCTTCCCTTTTATGTGAGGACCAAAATACCCTTTTCAATAGAATAATTATATACATAAGATAAATGAGTAATATGCTTCAAAAAAAAGATAAATGAGTAATAACTAATAATAATACAAAGCTATAGGTCATTTAATATATAACAACGGAATTTATAATTGAAGTTTACAAATTAAGAAATTTTGCAGTTGTTATACCTTTTGATATCTATATGTAACCTAAAGAATCCAATAATTATTTAAATTTCTTCTTAAGTTTTACATTTTACAATAATATGATATCAAAAAGAAATTGTTTCAAATTCATGCAAAAACGAAGATTACTAATAAAATATTCTAGGGAATTTCCACTTGGCACAAATTGAAATTACAATAAAACTATTAATTTTTCATTAATACAATCTACCCAAAACAACATGCCTTTTATTACTTAATTTATCCATGGATTAAAATAATTGTTATATTCTAGGTTTCGTTATATTTAATAAATCAAATTTAACTTATCCTCTGATCATCTAAAAAAATTCCAAGTTAAAAAAGGCCATCAATTTAGTTCATGAGTTACTCCTGTTACAAACCACGCTAAAGTAAGATTTTCAAGGGCAAGTATGCAATTTGACAAATATAATAAATAAACAACAATGGGTTTTTAAGTGTGGCATAATTTATTGTATTTAGAAACAAAACTGATGTAATGTTTTTCAAGCACATTCAATTCCATTATTTTTAATGTGGGAAAAACGGCCGAAACTAATGTGCATCTCCCTGAGGTGTGAATGTTAGAGAAGATGGTGAGAATTAGCACCCAAATTAATAGTAAGCAAGAAAACGGTTCAGAGGCTTTTTTTTCTACATGTACAATTAATATGTCATAATGTGTGTGTAATGTATTGATAAAATGATGCAACACAATCCCAACCACACATAAAAAGAAAAATGCAATATTTAACAAATAACAAATAGATTATAATCGAGTCTTTGGGATTGTAAGCACATAATTCTAAATGTTAGTCATACAAGAAATTCAAAGAATCTCAATGGTCTCGATAGTTTGCATCAGTTACATCAAGGAAATAGAAGAAAATGATCGTAACTTTCATTTTCAAGTTATCTTTCATCTTTTCTTTCTCTTCTCGATTTCTTGTTTGTGTTCTTCTTTTTCTTTGTTTTTTGTTTTCAGTTCTATGTTTAATATTTTGAATATTTTCTCATCTACGTCCCTTATTTTTCCTTTTTTATCTTCCATCCATCTTTGAACCCTAAATTTTGAGAAATTAATAAAGCTTTCTAGTTTAATGAAGGAATAAATCCTCCATATCAAGACCAGATTGAGCATCTGTTAATAAAGTTCGTAACTTATTTTGCATATTTTTTCCACTTCTATGTACTAAGTTAATTTTTTTATTCATTTGAATTAATTGACCTAATGAAACATGTATGGGTTATATCTATCATTGACTTTGAATCTTTCTGATCAGATCTTACATGTTAAAATTATTTTTACTCAGGTAATTCAAAACACGTGTCAGTTTCATAAAATCAATGGTCTGTGCATAGGGATTATTGATTTAACTTTTATCTACTAAAATTACTTTATTTACATGCAATTACATTTTATTTTTCCGTTCAATTCTTTATTTATGTATTGGCAGGTAAGATTTCATTGTGATATAGTTTGTGACTAAGCATGCATGTTATGCGTGAAGTTTATAAGGACTTTTGATTTCAATTGACTTCTTCTTGTCATCAAAGTTAGCCCGCATGGGTGTAGCTCAACTGGTTCCGGAGGTGGTAAGTTGGTGCAAGGTCCTAGGATCGAATCCTGGCAGCCGCAGTGTGGGAATTTCAACTCCAATGAGCGTTGGTTCCTTGTGGGCACCAGATCCGGGTCCGCTACCTTAACGGGCCGTTGAGTTACCATGATTTACATTCCTCCATCAATGCTTGTCGGGCCAAGGGA